GCGGCGGGCAGCGCCGCCCGCGGCAGCGGCGCCCACTGAGGGGCGCAGGGGAGGTAAGGTCGGACGACGTTGGGCGGCGCTCTTTTTCAACAAAACTGGCACGATCGCAATCTATGGCACGGCCTTGGTGCCCGGGCACAGTGCTTCGACCGTCGCGCCGAAACGCAGAACCCAGTTCCTCGGGCTGTTGTAGAGCTGTTTGACGGCTCTGTCGACGCCCGCTTCTTCTCCCGAGCGGCGCAGCACGCAAGTTCGCTGCGCCGAGCGGGGATTGGCCTGCCTCTTGAAGAACTTGCAGAGATTCCTGGGGCTCTTGTAATAGATCACACACCCACTCGGCGTCTGGGCAAGCGCCCGCAAAACGCGGGGCAGTGTAGGCAGGTCTTCCGCGAGAACCTCTGTTGCAGCCACGTGGTAGCTCTTGCTCGAGTTCCGAAGCTTCTCCGTGTACTGGATGCCTTTTGGAGAATCCTCCCGTGCAAAGTCAGTCGGCGCTGTGAGAAAAGAAAAAAAAAAAAAAAAAAAACTCCCGCGAACGCTGCTACGATCTGGGCGGCGACGCAATAGTCGGTGTCAGCCGTTGGCGCCAAGACTACGTTCCCCTTCTTCTTCCCCTGGGCCGTATGACTGGCAAGATAGTCCAGGAAGTCCACCGGGTCCTGAAACACTTTGAAACGCAAGCGCTGCGCCTTGTTGCGATCGCCCCCATCTACCACGCGAGCCAGCATGAGCCCAGCGGGGCGCGGGGGGGGGGAGCAAGTAAGCGTCGCGGCCCGCAGCTGGCCTGGCACTGCGCAGGACTTTCTTCTGTCGGGTACTCCTGGCCTTGGCGGCGGCCTTCGCCCCATCCAAGATTGCGCTCTCGGATCTTGGCCTCCCGCTTGGCGACAGCGGCGACGACTTTTGCAGCGGGCCCGACTGGATCTGCGCCGCTCGCCTGGGCAGCCCCCTGAGCCAGCGCAGCAAGATCGGGGGCGCCCTCCGCGAGAAGGCGGGCGCGCTTGCTCGGGGAAGCGGCCACCATGGCGTCGACGGCAGCTGCTCGCCTGCGCCCGAAGCCTATCTCTGTCCGACGTGCTGCCCCATGCTCCCGCGTGCTTCCCTTGTCGCGCCTCTCGGCCCTCCTCAGCGGCGCGATCTCCCCCTGCGCGACCTCATGTAGCTTGAGCACATGCCTGTGCCAACGACTGGCGGCAGAGCTGCTCTCGTCGTTGTCGCCCAGCCACGCGCGCAGCAACCTGCCGGAGGGCGCCTGGTCCACGAGCGTGCGCTCCTCGACGGACGCGTCGAGGAGCCGCGCCCTCTCGGGGCAATGCACCTCCGAGAAACGGCGGAATCGCCTCTCCAAGTTGCCCGTGCTCGTTTTCCATACAAGGAAGAGCTCCACGAGGCGACGGCCGCTGGGGAGCTCGGGCCACTCCACCGCAGCGCGGCCCCAAGCCTGCCGCGTGGTGCCCCCGTCTCGATGATGCACCTCGGCACGGGGCAACATGTGCCGCAGCTGGGAGATCGCCTTCTGCTCGGGGGGGTCTGCCGCCTGGCAGATGCGCTTCAAACAGGCCTCAGCTTCTGCTGCGTGCTCTGCTGTTGCAGACAGGGGCAGGTGGGAAGGCAAGCGAACGGATGTAAAGGCGTGCAACCAAGAATGCTCTGGCCGATATAGCTGCATGTTCTCCTTCACATTGGCCGCGATCCCCTGCGCTCGTCGAAGAGCCGCGCGGACGGCTTCGCGGGCTCGGGGCTCCGTGCTCCAATCGCCGATGCCAACGGTCCGGGCGCCAGTGCCGCACGCGAGCCGCTTCGTGGCCTTCAGAAACTTGAGGGTGACGCCAGTAAACGTGTCGGGGATGGCCAGAATATTCCCCTGGACGAGCAATGTATCGAGCTTGGAGAGGAAAGCGGCGGCCGTGGATTGAACGCTGGCAGCGTCGGGGTTGCTCTTGTCTCCGGTGGCGACCCAGCAGTAGCGCTCCGCGCTCACGTCGGCCAGCAACCCCCCCAGGAGCAGGCGCGATCTGTTCTCGCCCCCGAGCCCTTCCAGAATATGTCGGGCGAGAATGCGCCGATCGTTGTCATTCCCCTGGGACTCCGCTCCGAGCGCCTCGAAAATGACTTCCCAACGCCGGCTTCCCCGTGCATGGAGCCTCGCCCGACTGTTGAAACGCTGGGGGGCCAAGCCGAAGTTTTTGACGAACGCAGCGCCGTCTTCCACCAGCTGCTGCTCCCCGAGTGTGTTGCAGAACACGGTGGAGGTAGTCAGGAACTTGGCCAGACTTGGCGGCTTCTTACCCGTTGCCAGCAGCTCGTCCGTGGTCGTTATTTCGCTGTCTCCTTTCATCGAATTGGCCAGGACCTTCTGGGGCGAGTGAGACTCGCCCCACGCGTGAAACGCCAGCCCAGGGAACGTAGCTGTTGCAGCCAGGGGTGCACTTAGATCCGCCCCATCGCTGCGCCATGCCCGAGTCTCCTGTCGCACATGCTTGCGCAAGTCCCCGTCCAGCTCCCCGCCTGCCGTCTGGCACGCGCGACGGACGCACTCCCCCAGCATGGAAGCCTCGCCGTCGCAGCCCATGCCCCGCGGGGACCCCCGCATCCCGATCACCCGATCCACGATCCAGGGCCCTCTGGGGCCCAGCTGTTCCAGCCAGCCTGCCTTGAGACCGTAGCTTGGGAGGAAGTCCAAAGCCTTCGGGATCGACCACAGCGCGGTGCCAATTTCGACCTGGCACGCGCGGTCGAGGCCGTCCGCAGCCAAACGAGAAACAGCACCATGTTTGAGGATCCAGCCTTCGGCGCTGCCGACTAGACTCCAAAACTTGGCGGTCGCCCCCAGCGAACGCATCCCGCCACACGTCGAAACTACTGAAGGAACTGGTTGTCTCCAACATTGCACGGGTGGCGACCGCTGCGCGGCAACCAGGGCGCTGGACGGCGTTGCGGACGACGGCGGGCGCAGGCGCCACGGCCGTCGCAGCTGCTGCAGCTGATGCAGCCGTTGTGGAGAACACAGACACGGGGAGACCCTGGTGCGCACCTTCCGCTCGAATCCGCTCTTTCCACGCAGCTTCTGCTGCCTAGTGCTCCTCGCGCTGTGCATGGCGCACGAGGTTTTCCTTGCGTTGGAAACTCGCGGATCCCTGGCCTATGGTGGAATAGCATCGAGCGCCCTTGAACGCCGAGCAGAACAAGCAGGCTGCCAATCTACCACCAACGCAGCCTATCCAAGTTTCACTCTTCAGTGTTACTGGATTCGCCGCAGACATCGAGGCGCTCCACTTCTCCTCGTTCTTCCAAAATTTGCAAGCGCCGCAGGTGGAGACGTGCTTTGGGTAGTCGTGGCTGGCGACGTGCTCCTCCAGGGTCATGGACAACGAAGGCGGGAGCTTCTCGACTACTTTGCTCGGGGCGGCCTTCGCCTTCGCTCTTGCAGCCGCGGCTGCCTCGCTGCTGGAGCCGCTGTCCTCTTCGGAGCCGCTGTCGGAACCGCTGTTGGAGCCGCTGTCCTCTTCGGAGCCCGCTGCGTCGGCAACTCCGTCGACGCCGTCGGCGTCGGACCCTACGTCAGCATCGGCGTCCGAGCTGTTGCAGCTGCCACGGCTTGGCGAAGCTGCCCTCGACGAGGCCGCAGGGCTCGGGCTCGGGCTCGGCGAAGCTGAAGAAGCAGGGCTCGGCGAAGCTGCCCTCGAAGAAGAAGCAGGGCTCGGCGAAGCTGCCCTCGAAGAAGGAGAGGACGACGAGGCTGGAGGGCTCGGGGAAACCGCCCCAGCGGACGACGACATTAGTTTGAGCCAAGTCCTACGGACCACAATGGTGACGATGGTGATGGTGATGGCGATGCTGATGGTATGGGTGGTGATGGTGATGATGATGATGATGATGGTGATGATGATGAGGGGGATGGTGATGATGGTATGGCGAGGGCGGTTGTGATGGTGATGATGGTGATGGTGATGATGGTGATTCTGGATGTGATGAGCACCACCATCATCACCATCACCATCGCCACCACCATCAGCACTACGATTTGATAGCCACCATCATTACAATCGTCGTCGGCATCAAAACACAAAAACACTAAACCGACTCAACCTAAATCCGCCCTAAATCAAGCCAGATGTTTCTCGTTACTTGCGCCATCCTTTGCACTCTCTTGCTCATCCTTCTGTGTGTGCGTGCGTGCGTGCGTGCGTGCGTGCGTGCGTGCGTGCGTGCGTGCGTGCGTGCGTGCGTGCGTGCGTGCGTGCGTGCGTGCGTGCGTGCGTGCGTGCGTGCGTGCGTGTGTGTGTGTGTGTGTGTGTGTGTGTGTGTGTGTGTGTGTGTGTGTGTGTGTGTGTGTGTGTGTGTGTGTGTGTGTGTGTGTGTGTGTGTGTGTGTGTGTGTGTGTGTGTGTGTGTGTGTGTGTGTGTGTGTGTGTGTGTGTGTGTGTGTGTGTGTGTGTGCGATGCTGCGCTCTCTCCCGTGCGCGCCAGGGCGCGCGCGGCGGCGTAGCGCGCGACCCCGTGCTACGGACCGCTTGGCCCCCTGCTCGGGAAGATCACTGGTGGTGTTACCCCAAAAGCTGCCTCTGCCAGAGCAGGAGCACAGCAGCATCTAGCAAACGCCTTGGCGATCCAGGCGTCGGTCTGTACCTTTGTCGGGTACGTCACAGCCTGCACCCTCGCATCAGGGTTCGCAGGATACGTGCCCACTAGCTGGGTACGCACAAACTTGTGCTCCCCTGTGGGGTACACTACTCACCCCCAGTTGGGATCGCAGGAGCATTCCGATGCTCGCTGCGGTCCGTCAGGCCCGCAGAGGTGGCTGCTCGTGCAGAGGCCAACCACCTGGGGATCTTCCACCCCTCAAGGAAGCGTACAGTCTCAGAGTCCTCCTGCTCCTCCTCTTCCTTGCCGCCGTCCACTTCCTCTGCCTCCTCATGATGCTCCTCATGCCCCTGCTCCCCCTCCCTCCTCCCTCCTCGCTCCTCTCTCCTCCTCCTCCTCCCCCAACCTCCTCCCGGACTGCCGAACTCGCACCCTCTTCCCCCGAAGCGGCGCGGGGATGTCTCTGCGCGGAGCGGCCCGCGCACCGAGCGCCCGGCGGCTGCCGCAATGGCCCCCTTCTACCATCTACGTCGCCACTGCGACCCGGCCGGGCTATTCCACGGGACTGCGAGCAGGAGGGCGCGGAGGGCGCCGAGGGGGGGGGGGCGGGGGGGATCGAGATCTCAAACGCTTTGATTCGGCCAACATGTCTTCCTCGATGCCAGCCCCTGGGAGCCGTCATCGGCCCCTGGGGCCTGGGAAGGACGAGTCTGGGGCGAGAGACCGACGCCAGGGAAGCGGTCGGGACCTCTCGGGCTGCGCATGGAAAAGTTAGCCGCGGCGGATGTCTGGGGAGGAGGGCGACAGCGGGAGGATCGGCGGCGCGCCCAGAGGGAAAGGCAGAGGGGGTGGGCTTTCTCAGAGAGCGGTTCGGGTGAGCCTCTGGGCCTTCGGTTGTCTGGGGAGCTTTCGAATCTTTCTCCGAAGTCACAGAGAGCTTCTCAGCTGGCGGGAAGTCTCTGAGAAACCCCGCCGCCTTCTGACAATGCCTGCGCCCTCTCACTTCCCCTATCGGCTATCGGCGCGCCGCCGTGAAAGAGATGAAGGGGGGAACAGCAGCAGCAGGGGGATTGTGCAATGGCGGACAACGGGGGTGAGCAGGGGGGGGCGCAGAGGAGCAGGGGAAGAAGAGCAAGAGGAGGACAAATGATGAGAAAGTGGAAGAGGCCGAGCGTCCGCAAGAAATCTCCATCCACAATCATCGACGAGCCCCCGCACTGTGCGGTAGATCAGCTGCGACACGCAACGCGGGCGAAACCCGCCGCTTCGAGGTCCGAAGGCACAGTTCCGCCTAACCCTCTACGTTTGTTGTAGAGGAGACGATGTAGGTGATTACAAATAGCGACAATCCGCACCCGAGTAAAGGAGCAAGGACAAAAGGCCAACAATTGGTTCATCGAGTGCGGCAACGGCGTGCCAGCAGCCAGGGCCGCCCGGGTAACGAACCTGGGACACCTCGCAGTGAACGAGCTGCCAAGTTGCGTCATGATGGCGCGGAGGAGGTCGCCTTCAGAAGGGTAGAACGCAAGCGTGATACTGCGCTGAAAAGCCCGTGCGGGGGCGGGGGGAGCCGGTCGAACATGCCGCCGTCCTCTCGCTCCTAAACCGCTCCACTCCGAAGCGAACCGCAGCCCTCCCGATGGCCTAGGAAGGGGGGGGAAGCCTTCGCCGCCAGGCGGACCGACCACGCGATCGCAGGCCCATTCCTCTATAACGCTTCTCCCCCCATCACGCGCGACGACATTAACCGACATGCGTTTCTCGGCCTCCGCAAGGAAGCGAGCGCACATCCGCGGCCAGGCGCTAACAGCGAACAATCTTTTGAAGAGGCAGAGGACAGGGAGGACGCGGAAGAGGAGGAGGAGAAGGAAAAGGATGGGGGGAAGTAGGAGGAGCACCAGGAAGGAGGAGGCGCAGCAGGGGAGAGGCGAGGTGAAACGTAGGAAGAAGGATACGCAGAGGGAGGAAGGGAAAAAGGAGGAAAAGGGATGAGGTCAAGTCAAGGAGGAGGAGGAGGAGGAGGAGGAGGAGGAGGAGGAGGAGGAGGAGGGGACGATGGGGGGACAAGCAGGATGCGAGGATGAGGAGTCTGATGATACTGGAGTAGAGGCGGAGAAGGAGGAGGAAGAGGAGGAGGAGGAAGAAAAGGAGGAGGATGACGAGCGAGCGATCCGTGAGCGATCCTTCTTTCCTGGACGGGCGCTTAGGCGGCGCAGGGGGGCCCGCCTCTCAGCAGGCTGTGGGGCACGTCGTGCGGGAGGCCAAATGAATCGGTGCGGGCCAGCGAAGCGCCATTGAGGGTATCCGCCACGGGGGCCGAAACGTCAAGCTGGAAGCCGGCTTCGACGGCGGTCTCGGCGTAGCCTGCGCCAAAGTTGAATGGGCCTTCGCGGTGGACAGTGTGGCGCGCGTAGTTGTCCTCGAAGGCCTTCCCATGGACGGTAGCGCCCATGAGGCCCCGTCGGCCATGAGCACGCACACCTTTGCCAAAGGGCGCAGGTTGGGGAAGGCGCGGAGTCTGAATCTCCTTCACCCCTCCCAGGGGCGCAGAGGCGAACGCGGCGGGACCGCCGAAGACATCGAAATTCTTGATCGTCATCTTGACGAACTGGACGTGTTTCCTTCTGAATCCGAGACAGGCTGTGCGCGACCTCGATGAAAGGCGGGCAGCAGCAGCAGCAGCAGCAGACCTGCAGGAGGTCAGCACGACGGAGGTGCGGAACGCCGTGAACTGCACAGTCAGGACAGGGGCGCACTACGTCGTGAGCGTGTCCGATAGCACCCGTTGCAGGAAAGCTGCGGCTGGAAAAGCCAAGGCTGTAACCTTGGCTATCAAGCAGGGCCCGGTGGCGGGCCCGCAGACCAGCAAACGTGGAAGAGAGCCCTTCCCGTCGTAAAGCTGTCCTGGGCGCCGTATTTCAGCAACTCGTGACCGATCGTCTCGCTTGGGATCTTCATCGGTTCTGGGTCCAGGTGCGCGGGGGGATCTGTATGTCTTCAACGGGCACCCCTTCGCCTATCTGGCGACCGCCTCCTTTTTCGCCCGCGGTTTCGCCTCCAAAATTCCGCTCTGCGATATCCCCGCTCCTCCCCAGGGGTCAACGCCGTGCACAAACTGGATGCGCGCCGTCGCAACGCAGCCCGTCGCGCCAAACTCAATCACCCTCGGCAGAATCCCCACGTTGGAATATGTACGTCTTGATATTAAACTTGTCAGCGAGGGGTTACCAATGCGGCAAATCATCGTCATGCTGTAAATCCAATTGTGGACGTCAACGCGGTCTATCATGCTGCTGTGGGCCACTGTAAACCATGGTGTGGTTGCAGACCATGCGGCTGTCTATCTTGCGTTAGCTGATGACGCTGGGCGAGCGGTAGGACAGACCGCGGGACATGAATATCGAAATGTATATCGCCATATTGCTGTATGTGGCCACGCGAGCTGCAAGTTGTCATCCTGATGGGGCCCACCGTGCTCAGAATCAGGTGTAACATCATCGTGCTGCTGCGGCACTTCCTTACGTGGATAACGCAACCAATCATCAGCATGTTGCAGGTCCGTGTCCAACGCGTCGCGATCCGCCGCATCCAACAAATCATCGAATCCCAACAACGTTGAAGCCGCCAATCCACGCCAGCCACAAAGAAGAAACCAGGGGCTGAACTGGAGAGAACGAAGAAGGAAGCAATGCAGCTAGCCGCTCGCGTTCGGCAAAGGCCGCCTCGCCAGCAGCAACATGGCGATAAACGAAATGCCCATGTGCCCCCATGCTCGCAACTAGGGAAGAAGCGACACGCAAGCCTTGAGACAATGGAAGGACCAGGCGCCAGGACCTCGACGCAAAGAAGTCGCGAGCGCGCCGAAGCCCTGGACGACGAACAACATCGCCAGACTGACCGCGGGAAACACCACCAGACGTCGGCGGTGCAACAACCAGACCAGAGGTTTGCTGTTCATTCCGTGGACCTTGTTGCTTTTCGCGTGGAGCGTCGTGTTTTTCCCGTGGACCTTGGTACTCCATTCGAGGAGCATTGGGTTCTTCGCGAAGGGCAGGATGTTATTCTCGATGAGTTTGGTGAACCTCCCGTGGAGCTTGGTTCTCAGCCTGTCGGGATTGGCGTTCCTCCCTTTGAGCTTGAAATTGTGCCCGCGGAGCGCGGTGCTCTTCTCGCGGGGCTTGGGGTCCCAGCAGCCCTCTGGGCGCCGGTCGTTTAGCGGAAATTGTACTCTCTCTCTCTCTCTCTCTCCCTCTCTCTCTCTCTCTCTCTCTCTGCGAAAACCATGCTTCCCCTGCTCGGTGGAGGGGCTCATCATTGTTCCCTACCTATGTACGCCCCCTCCCCCAGACGACCGGCAACCAACCAGGGGCAATGGGGGCCGCATGATCACCCCCCCAACCACCCGTCAAAAACCAATACCAACACACACTCTGCCTCCGAATTCGGAGCAGGCGCAACCAACTCGATGCCGTGAGGCATGTCCGTGAGGCCCGCGAGCACTTTGCATATTCTATTCTGACAGGGTCGGGCAAGGGCGTCAGCGTAGTGCCTGCTGCTCGCAGGGCTACCATCCCTGACAAGACCGATGCAAAATGCACCACGCGGTTAAATCTGGCTCGTGCGCGGCCAGCCCGCGATCACTGTCAAATGGTTTTTGATATGGGCGGCGGGGGCGGCGGCGCATGGCCTGCTGCGCGCCGGCCCATCATACATAATGATGGGCACTGGTTTTCGACAAGGATAGTGGGGGCCGACATGTTTCCCGATGCGTGTGTCCGACAAGGGTAGTGGGCGCCGCGTGTGTCAGGTGCGCAGGCGCACCTGACACACGCGGCGCGCGCGCGCCGAACGCGGCGTGCCCGGCGCGGCTGGAGCACGCGGCGCACCTGGCGAACGCGGAGGCACGCGGCGCATCTGGCGCACCAGGCGCGCCTGGCACGCTCGGGCCCCAGGGGTGCCTGGCGCGCGTGGCGCTCCTGGCGCGCGTGGCGCGCCTCGCCCCGGCGTCGCGCACGCGGGCTCGGTTTTGGTTCGCAGTAGCTGTCCATCCAAAGACGACCGCTGCACTTGCCGAGGCTCAGGTGTTACTGATGCGTTGGGAGGGCGGGCGGGAGTGAGCCAGACGGCTTACTATCTAGGAGGGTGTCTTGACCCCTTCCCCCCCCCCCCTTCTCCCCGGGGCCTGGGAAATGGGGGGGGGGGCGCGGGCAGCTAGAGCGCCCCAGGTGGCGTAAGATGGCCCCCAGAGTGCCTCAGGGAGCCCGAGATGAAGCCTGACGTCGAAGCGGCCTTCCGGACAGACCCCATCCAAGGAGCCCCAAGATGGCCCAATACACCCGAATTTAGCCACAAGAGCGCCCCAAGAGTGCTCCAAGAGGCCCCAAAATGGGCCCCCAAAGAGCCACCACCATGTCCTTCGTCGCCATTCACGCACCTCTCTCAGCAGCATGCCTCCGGAGACCGACTGTTCATCCTCCTTGTCATCGTTCGCTCCTTCCCTCCTCCTTTACTCCCCCCTCCCTTCTTTTCCTCCTCCTCCTCCTCCTCCTGCTCACCTCGTCATCG